GGCATGAAACCATACTGTTGTTCACAAATCTTCAACTGCTCTTTCCCATACATGAAGATTTCATCATATGGCTCATCAACTTTATCCCTCTGTAGTTGTTACAACTCTGTGCATCACCCTTCTTATAAATTGGCACCCGAACACCTTTCCTCCATTCATCAGGCATCTTGTCAGTCTCTAAAATTCTGTTAAACAACCTAGTCAAGAAATCAACCGCCACTTCTCCTAAGCACTTCCATACTTCTACTGGTATGTCATCAGGACCAACTGACTTTCCACTCTTCATCCTCTTCAGGGCTTTTCTAACTGCATCCTTTCTAACCTGATCTACCTTCTTCCTAATAGTCTCTGGTTCCTCATTTCTACTTTCCCTTTCATTTTCCTCATTCAACAACTCGGGTTTTCTTTGATCCGTTAACCAATAAATAAAGGTTAGTGTTAATTAATAAATTACAGATTTCACTTTTTCTTGCATTGTCAAAAGTTTAACTTCTTTTCTGGAAATGGGTTTTACATGACTCCTACCTTTTTACACTTTGCAGAAAAAAACATTTTAAATTTTACTCAAATGCTGACAAACCTTTTATATTTGACTAAAGTGTAAGCATTTCAAACACAACCAGTGAAAAAATGTTTTCTCTAAAGCTGCATTTTTAGTCATGAACACAGGTGACCTAGGTAGAAATTACAGCCCAATTTTCTCCTTTTTCATGGAATATGTGTTGAAAACAATGACATCCCATGACTTTCAAGCGATAAAATGGCTTCTGAATATATTCTTAAAGAAATTTATTTTACATTTCAAAACAAGAAAAAGAATAGGACATAGGGATGTGGTACATTGGGAATGTGTTAACAACTGTACTTTACATTTTTTGGTGTAAGCTCAGAGAAAAAATGTTAATACAGTCATAATAATTGCACTTCATAAATCTAGACTGATGCCAGTTTTTCCTAACAATTACCCCCCTCCTCTTCTTTCTTTCCAGTTAATAAATTCAATTTACTATTGAAGTCTGACTGACAATGAAATGCTAATTTTAGACCAGAAGACTGCTGCACTGATCCAATTTTTCCTCTTTCACTTGAGTCCCACAAGGGAATGAAACATTGCAGCATTTAAAGTGCAGTACATTCAAGGGAATCTCATCTCATTATAAATATTTCACTGCTCTGAATCGTCAAGTTAAAACTGGCCCAGGCTAAATGCATCCCACCCTCGGGCTGAAACGGACAAGCAGCAGCACTGAACGTCGTCTCGTTTTATCTGACACCACAGAACAGGCCATGATTGTTTCAATTTTGTTTTTGTTTGCAGAGGAGAACCTTCCACCCTCCACCCAGAATAGGGTTTCATTGTGCCTCTTTCTCTCTCTCTCTCTCTCTCTCTCTCTGTCTGTCTGTCTGTCTGTCATTATGACAACAGAAGACAGAAGACTTTCACTTTATAATATAAAGGAGTGATTTCTTGCAGCTCCAGTGAAATTTGAAGCCGCCAATAAACAACCACTTCCTACACATTACTCAAACATGGCGTTCTGTTGAATCTGCTGAAGTATTGAGCCACACATAAACATACATGTAAGGTTATGCACATAACCCCTCCAATCACATTCTTCATTGTAACATTAGTTTTTGTACGTTTTTGTGACATTATTCATCTTTAAATATGTCTTTTTCAAGATTGTAGAATCCAGTGTTAGTAAGTAAGAAAAACAGAACTCTGACCAGGTTCTTACAGAACCAACGCAGTGACAATGTCTCACAGCAGGACCATACATACTGTTCATCAGCTGGAGGAGTAATTGTTTAGTCATGACAAAAGCAATAAAATAAAAGAGACAGCTAACCTAATAAAAGCATTTTAAACACTTTTCCCCTTAGCAGCCAATGCATATAATATACCCTACAAATATATAAAACAACAAACAAAAATAGATTCAAGTTTTTTCAAGTTTCTAAATATTTTCAAAACTACCCAATTCCAAACTTCAAAGATTCAAGCACTGCAATTTATGTTTCAATTATAACAGCAATAAAATCAAATATCGTACTAACTTGGTTAAATTCCACCTTAAGATGCTTGTACATAATGTATTGCCTGTGATTACACTTTTTCAACAATGTGTGTTTCTGTGTGTGTGTGTGTGTGTGTGTGTGTGTGTGTGTGTTTGTATGTGTTCACTGTTGCAAGATTTTATTCATATGTTGAGCAGCACTAAAGTTTTGGCCCTTTTTTAACCCTTGTAAGGTCATTTGGGTCTGTGTGTGTGTTAGTGTGCACGTGCATGTTCCTGTACTGCATGACTTGTGCCAAGTTTTCCTCATATTCATTCATACTCATATTCTGGGACAAGATGAAAATCATTGCAAGCACAAAGGGTGTGTACAAAAATGCGAAGGACTGCACAACAGTTAAGACCATTTCAGTGACAACCTACAAAGTAGCTTCATCATTTGTAGTTGGAATGGGGGGATACAAGTGGCAGACACACTTCATGTCAAGCTATGATTCTCAATGAAGTCCAGGCAAGTAAAACAAAAAGAGAAGAAAAAAAAAAACAAGAACACAAATATGAGAAAAAAAAAGAATGAATCCAAAATTCCTTTTGGCAAACCACACCACCTCCTCCTCTTCTTCTACTCCTTCCTTTTCCTCCCCCTCTATCTGTAAACAGGAAGGCGGATGTGTGCATGCTGGTGGTCTAACAGACGTGGCACAGACACAGTCTCGTAGCCTTTGCCAAGCATCTGCTCCTTGATGCAGGGCGGGTGGATGTCGTTGATCAGGTACTCCAGGGACTGCAGGCTGCTGCTCAGTACGGACATGTTGCACAAGCTCTTGCTGGGCAAACTGCAGCACAAACCTCCACTGCTGTCTATGGCAGGGTGGTGGTGATGTTGGTAGTGGTGATGATGAATAGGGTAGCCTATTTCTCTATCACCTGTGGCTGGGCCTCCTGTGGAGGTGCCTAAAAGCTCCTGGGGGTTGTAGCAGTCACTGTCCGGTGTCACCAGCACGCTGTTCCACGGCGGGGCAAAGTACTGGCCCACTGAGAAATTACCATGCATACCCACACAGTTCAAAGGTGAAGAGCTGACTTTTTCCAGCCCGCCTCCTCCACTGGCACTGGCTGACAGGTGAGGTCTAGATGAGGAGGAGGACATTTGGGCGGCCATTAGTCCTCCCCCTGGAACACAAGTTTCAGGAGATTTGCTATTGGCGGCTCCTCCTCCACTGCTCTCACTGTACATGCGGAGCACAGCCTGCTGATGCTGCTGCTGTTGCTGATGTTGTTGTTGCTGTTGTTTCTGCCAGAGGATGTAGTCCATACCTTCTGTGTAGATACCAGTCTTCATTGTCTCAGTGTTTTGAGTTGGCAGAGCTTGCCCTGTGTACACCATGTTAGCCTGGGGGCCCATGCCTACCAGGTAGCCTCCACCTGAGGAGCTGGAAAAGGCCCCTAAGACAGTTGTTGTTCCCTGCTTAGATGGGTTGGAATTTGATGGCGCTATCGCAGACCCATGACAAGCCTGCTGCAGAGCCTGGGCTTGGCAATGCTGATTAATCTGGTAGATGATGCTCTGGATAGAGGGGAGGTTGGACTGTGGGGGCAGAGCATGGCCACGGCCCCCAGTTACGGGAATCACTGAGCCAGCCACAGTGACATTCGGGGGAACAGAAAGTCCAGGACCTTCTGGAGGCTTTGAGGGGGCAACGTGGTACACCATTTGGCCGTGACCACTGGCTAAAGTGCTATTATTAGGAGGTGGGTATGGTGCGATCGCTATGTGGGCTGGAGAGAGTTTATTCCGTCTGCCTTCAGCATTCTTGAGAACACCTTTTGAAGAAACAAAGGTGGAAGCTGACGATGATGAAGATGAGGAGGAGGTTTTGATAATAGCCAGCAACCCCTGGTAGCCCCCTGTGTGGATATGTGGGTAGGGAGCATAGCGTTGCCCTGTGGTGTCGTATCCATTCACAGTTCGGTTAAGGTGCCTGTGCTGGGGAACCCTGATGTTTGTGGGGAAAATCTTGATGGTCAGAGGGTTGTTGGCTATCTTCTGGCCATAGGCATCGAGTTCTGCTGCAGTGGGGTAGCGTGGGGACTGTGTGGGCACCACAAGGTCACCTGCAAGACAAACAAAGGAACAAAATAGGAGTTGAAGGATGGAGTAAGTCAAAATACGTTTGTGTGAGCAGAACAACAAGTCAGCAGTCCAGGTTTAATTACCAGGGGTATCTAAGGAGCAGATCAATCAAACAATTGCAAGCACTCCCACCTTCTAGGCCGTAAGGTGAACCACAAAAAGTCCTTTAGAAATTGAATTCCGCTCCGACGTCTGGGAACTACACGATCTTAACCTCATAAATAAGAACGTTAACGAGTTACGTTAAACTTACAGCAAAAAGTTCGTCCCAAAATATCCTGCCCGTTTTTTATACTGATGCATTTTATAAAGAAGTAGCGTCTTCAGGACGCAATAAGATTTTGGTGGCATGGTTCGACACGTGATCGTGCTACACCAATCGAGTAGCTGATTGATGTCAACACTTCCGGCTTCCTCCGTGGTTCTAATTAATGTTACCGATAGACGTGAATTCTCCCAAAAGTCTTCTAAAGTGGGCCAAATGGATTCTAAACAGTGCTTTATACATAGCCGCCTGCACGAAGAACAATGAGGAAAAAAGACGATAAGGTGAACTTTCTCTGTTAAGTCATTTTGATCAATAAAAGGAAGTAATCGATGACAAGGACCATTTGTTTATTCATTCGTTCATTTATTCGCAACACTGTACACAACACTGATCAATCATAAAAAACTTTATTAAAACATATACATACAGTATGTACAATATATAAAACAATACAAAACAGCATAAGAAAATGAATGGTAATATTAACCATGCAACCACTGCAATATAACTCTGAGGCTACACATGAAATGTTAGTCTTCACTGTCAGTGTCAGGGCAATTGTCATCCTCCTTCTCCTCGATTTCATGTTTGTTTGCACAGTGGCAACACCTACACAGGTCTGTACAACGAGTCGTAGAATCAGGTGTTCAATCTGTTCATGCTGTTGAAGACCTGCAGTGTGATCATTAAGAATGTGAGTCAATATGTTTTTGCATGCACAACATGCTGCATAAGAGCATGCAACTGTCATCATTAAAAGCCCTGACACTGATGTGGGAGTCATTGCTGTAAGCATGCAGAAAAATTTACCATGCAGCTTATATTTTTTCACAGGGACGGGCAACAGGACACGCACCATTGACATTACCAAGGTGTCATCAGCTCTTGGAACCACTGTGTGTTCAGCCTTGATTGGCATACATACATTCTCTGGGTGTGACTCCACAAGTGCCTTTATGGTAAAGGCATTTTCTGTGGCAAGTGAGTGGGAAGAGTACCTTAAGGGTTTTAAAAATCTGGGTGCTAACTTTAACTTAGACCACTCAACATTTGCACTACTTTGCAAATATGTGTGCCACCTGTATGATCAGCTGGCTGCTGAAAATGTCAATGAGGCTAGGTACAAGGCTTTTTGTATGGCATCATCAGCCTTGCCAGAATTATCTATTCCCCCTACAAGTGATGCCCTCCATCAGCACTGCAAAAAAGGCAAATTATCAGGCTGCAGTCATGAGGTCCTGCATCAAACAAAATATAGGTTCTCCATCACCTGCTGGATATGGTTGGCACTTAGATGATGGAAATCTACATTTCATATGGATGACAAGAAATCCGGCCCCTGACAGTGTGTCTTGTGTCTCTGCAGGACTCTGTTGTACAGACCTGTGTACGTGTTGCCACTGTGCAAACAAACATGAAATCGAAGAGAAGGAAGATGACAACTGCCCTGACACTGACAGTGAAGACTAACATTTCATGTGTAGCCTCAGAGTTGTATTGCAATAATTGCATGGTTAATATAACCAGTCATTTTCTTATGCTGTTTTGTATTGTTTTATATATTGTACATACTCTGTATATATGTATATATGTATATATGTTTTAATAAAGTTTTTAATGATTGATCAGTGTTGTATTTAGTTAGGAGCAAATAAATGAACGAATGAATAAAAAAAACGGTGCTTGTCATTGATTACTTCCTTTTATTGATCAAAATGACTTAACAGAGAAAGTTCACCTTATCGTCTATTTTCCTCATTGTTCTTCGTGCAGGCAGCTATGTATAAAGCACTGTTTAGAATCCATTTGGCACACTTTGAAAGACTTTTGGGAGAATTCCAACCACAGAGGAAGCCGTGTTGCCGGAAGTGTTGACATCAACCAGCTACTCGATTGGTGTAGCACCATCACGTGTCGAACCGTGTCATTGCTCATGCACCAAAATCTTATTGCGCCTCGAAGACGCTAGTTCTTTATTAAATGCATCGATATAAAAAACGGGCAGGATATTTTGCGACAAACTTTTTGCTGTAAGTTTAATGTAACTCGTTCTTATTTATGAAGTTGAGATCATGTAGTTCTCAGACGTCGGAGCGAGATGAAACAATAATCGGGTTCACCTTATGGCCTATTCCTGCCACAAAGAAACCTGGCATAGAGCGACTAGTTCTGAAGTAGAGTGAGAAATATATCATTGTCTCTCAGTCAAACAGCAGGTGAATGAAATTATACAAAACTGTAGAGAGATTGCAGACCTGGCCTGACACTGGTTTATGTTCCATCACTCCCCTCCTCCATCTGAGCCTTCTCTCAATCTCATTTTCACAACTTCCTGTGGAGGTTCATCCCTAGACAAATGGATCTTTTTAAAAACTCATTCTGTCAAAGCCTGATTCCTTAGGTGCTGTTAAATCAGTGCATGGCTAAATTAATTTAGACTCTCTTTAGCAATTGGGTTAGCCTTGGATACCAGGCAAGGGGAGACAAAAGGGAGGTGAGGTGGTAAAAGCCTGCTTAATTGCAATGGCACAGTTAAGAACTACGTTGGTGACACATTTAGAAATTACAGAAATAAAAACACCCACATTCAATTAGTAATGGAATTTCCTTTAAAATGTTAAACACAATAAAGAGAGGAAAAAAATAAGATACAAAGTGTAGGAGAGGGCCAGGATCAGCTCACTGCTTAACCTATTAATGTCTTGGTTAACCCTTTTTATGGCTCATTAAATACAATTTCAACATGAGCTGAGATACTAATGTTGGTGACATTATGTAAATGTTGCCCCTAAACTGTGCTCCTTGCAAATCTTTTGTTTATAAACTTTTCATAGCGTTCCTGCAAGTCAAGAGACAATTTTAAGAGCTAATTCTTTAGGAGCAAGTCAGAAAAGTACTGCTGACCTTTTAGCCAAGAAAAGGTTAAAACAAAACTAAACAGGCTGTGACAAACATTTGCACTGTATAAACCTGTTCATATGAATGAATGATAAAACCCACATGTCTGCTTACCTGGCAAAGACTTACCCATTAATCTGCATGTTAATGCTCTGTTACAGTGTTTGCCGTATGAAACCACTTCCGTCGGAAAATTTTAGTGTTGCACGTGGCAGGTGAGACTCGCAATAGCACCTCGCTCAATGAGCCAAGCTTTGCCACTGTGAAGTAAGGTGGCAAACAGGAAAATGACCATTTCTAAAAAGCCCACCATTATTTGGGGGCTGGGCAGAGGTGAGAGGCTGCAGTGAGATTGGATTCAAACAACATTATTCAAGCAATTTCATGGCTAGCTCAGTGCAACAAAGATTAGATAGATAGATAGATAGATAGATAGATAGAGAGAGAGAGAGAGAGAGATAGAGAGATAGATAGATAGCCCTTTATTAATCCCTTTTAGAGTTCCCTTCGGGTAATTTTCGCTCCAGCAGCAGTACAGCACCAAAACAACAGGAAAAAACACAAGAATACGTCAAATACAATAAAATACAAACATGAGTAGCAGCACACTGACAATAAAAATGGGAAACCTGAACAGTTGTTGTTGTGATGGTGTGCAATCTCAATTATTATTATATTTCAATTTTACCATTGTTAACCATTGTTATATATATATTTAAATATATATACATATATATTTGCATGTACACCAAGTATACCATATTATCTCTATGGTATGTATATGCATATTTAAGCAGAACTACTATAAATGTAAGGATGTTATGTGAACAGGTATATAAATAGTTTAAATATATGAACAGTATAAATGGTTGCGTAATTAAATAATTAAATTAGATAAGCAGTTAGGGTTGACACCCCATACACTAGTAGATACACCGTAGATATTATTATTATAGGTATACACATTATATAAGTTATAAATATGCATATATATATATACATACACATGTACATACGCCCACATCCACATATATGCACTATATATCTATACAGCTACATATATGCACACCCACATACATATATACCTACATACCTACACACATACATAAATATATATATATATACATCTAAATATGCATACACATGTACAGACATACATACTCATGCATTGCGTGAGCATATATATAGACATATACTTAGAATATAAAATAGAAATAAATTGTTTATTGAAATATAATCGTACTGAAAAAATTGTTGGGTTATTGCACATACTCCCTTACCCACCAGTTGTTTGTTCACCCTCCTCCCACCCAGTGAAGAGTTAAACAGTTTAATTGCCCGGTGGACAAGGCCTGTTACTGAACAGACTCCTCTGATTGCTGATGACAGTGTGCAGAGGATGAGTGGCGTTGTCCAAGATGGCGAGCAGTGTTCTATTCTCTGCCACTAGTTCTCTTCTCTGCCACTGTCACCAGAGGGTCCAGTTTGATGCCCACCACAGAGCTAGACTTCCTGATCAGCTTCTCCAATCTGTGTAAGTCCTTCTTTAATGTGCAGCTCCCCCAGTACACCACAGCGTATGAAATAAAGCTGGCAACTGCAGATGTTGAAAGACCTGAGCCTCCGCAGGAAGTACAGTCTAATCTGGGCCTTCTTGTACAGCTGCCTACTGTTGTGTGCTCAGTCCAGCTTGTTGTCCAACCACAGCCCAAGGTATTTATAGGTCTCCACCTATCCTCCAGGTCTAGACCTCTACCTCCTGACCCTCGATAAGAACTGGTCGGAGTTTTGTTTGGATTTCCCAAAGTCTATGACCAGCTCCTTGGTCTTGGAGGCGTTGAGCTGCAGATGGTTGGATTTGCTCCATCCAACAAGTTCCTCACAAGGCGCCTGTACTCCT